ACACAGTCTCTCTGCTACAACAGCTCTTGTTGCAAAGGACTCAGAAAGACTAGAACAGGTCAAAATATTTCTGCCACTATTGAGTCCTACTTGAAATCTCTGAGTTTATCTTGTTAGGTGTGCAAACACTTACATATGACTTACAATTCTGCTAATATTGAGCACTGCTAAAAGTACCTCGTGGCACCCCACAGTGCCACGACTCAGTTGAACCAAATTAATCTAAGTGCTTGCTATTCATTCTCTGTTTCATATGAATTTAAAAGTAAACAATACAGCCTTTCTATATGCCACACCAGAAATGTAGCCACATACCTGAAAATCCAGTTCTCTCTCAACTGTATTAGCTCTTCAAATTTAACTATGTAAATTCTTGTTGGCATTATGATACAGATTATGATACCTAGCAGTGGAGTGGACAAAATATGTCCTGCAGACCAGATCTGGCCTGCCAACTGATTTTATCTGGCCTGTGGACAAGCACAGGCAGCAGTGCCTCACAGTAGGCCCTGGATGAGCTGTGCTTTGGCTCCTGCCTTTGCAGGCAGGTGTCATGGGTAACCTCTGCTGGTGCCACAGGGGACTCTGGGCAGAAGCACCTCTACCCGCCTGCCCAGCACCACACAGAGGCCTGGGAGATAGAAAATCAGCTTGCCCAGGGCCTGCGGAGCCAGACTCCAACTTCCAGGCACTGCACGGTATGCTGGACAAAACCTGCCCGGCACCAGAAGAAGTGAAGGCCCAAGCATGGCTCACCCCAGGACCATGAAGTGCTGGGCAGGTGTGGCTGCTTCTGCCCAGAATTCCCTGTGGCACCTGGGAGATGCAGCCTGGCCCCACAGACCCTGGATGAGCTGTGCTCAGTCACTGGCCTCTGTTGGCAGGCATCACCCATGGCCTGTGGGGCTGCACTGCATCTCCCAGGTGCTAGAGGGGATGCTGGGCAGGAGCAGCCCCGCCCACCTGGCACCATGTGGCAGGCCCTGGGCAAGCCATGCACAGGCCCTGGTGGCTCAGGCTCTGGCTACCATGTGGTGCAAGAAGGGCAGGTGGGGCTGCTTCCACCCAACAACCACTGGGGCTCAGGAACAGCTTGTTCAACCCCCACCCACAGGTGATGGAGTCTGACCACAAGCCTCTGCACTGTCCCATCCTGCTCCACCATCAGGGCTCATGGCAGGGTGAGGAGGGACAGTGTGGAGACCTACAGCCAGGCTCCATTCTCTGGCCCCCAGCTATGGACAGAGAGAGGGTAGGGGGGGAGTGGACAGGCGGGCAGGAGCTGGGGTGCACATGTGCATGCATGCATATGTGCAGTCCTCAACAGCTCATTAAAACTCTATCAGTGTCTCTTCAGCCCAAATAATTGCCTGCCTCTGACTTAGGAAATAAGATTTCAAAAGGTACCACTTCTACAACCATTAAAAAGGATTTTTTTCTAATGCAATGCAGTATGGGTTGATGCAATTAAGTTAACTTGGGGCAGGTATGAAAACAACTATCAGAGCACTATCTACTCTGCAGCAGAATAGAAAAGGGAAATTACAGAACACCTTTGTAGCAAAAGATGTGCAGTAATGGTAGCATATTATACTACCAGGCAACACCCTTCCTTCCCATCTTCTTGCCCAGACGAAGAAAAAAAAGAAAACAAAAAACAAACACAGCTCTGACTTGCTTAAGAACAATCAGCGACTGTTTTCCACAAGGATTATTTCCAAGGATGATTTTTCTTTCTGTTCCCTGAGCAGATGATATCCACTCTCTAGGCCTCTGATAGTACAATATTATCCGGCCAGCGTAAGCAAAAGAAAAAAGGGGGAGCTTGTAGCCAGGTTCAGTAGCTCATCTTCTTGGCTCACTGGTCCTTGGCTGTTGTGCTACTATACAGGCACCCAACTCTCCAGCCTACTTTTCTGATTCCTACACTCCCTGGTTCAGAGCTGAACTCCAGCTCTGGTTGCTTGGGTCCTTGCTGCCTGACTCAATGGAACAAAGCAGGGAGCAAGTACTCTGATCCAAGTAGCTTCCCTTGTGTGGAAAGTTACTGAGTGAGAGGCAGCTGTGGACAGACCCTAGCAAGGCAAGGGCACAGAAGAAAGGCCAAGCATTCAGCTAAAGCCGCTTGGCAGATTGCATGTCTTAATGCCCCCGATGCAGAACTGCCATGCAGAGAACCCTGGAGAAAGACCCTATGCCTCTCCAAGCTATTTTCCAATTTCTCTATAAGCCGACTCAGGTAGGCAGCTCTGTCAGTTACTCTTGGGTCGCATAGTCAAGACCACCTAGGGAAGCAGTGGAGCCCAGCAGATAGCACTCAAACCTAGGAATTCAGGGTTTCCAAGGCCTCTCTCAGCTTAGTCACTGGCATATACAACAACCCTGGGCAACTCCCTGTCCCTCAGTTTCCTAATCTGTAAAATAAGGCTGGATAATGACTCTATCCCTTGACAACTATTCCAATAAGAGTCTTTGATTGTTCACTAACAATCTGTTGAGAGGCATCCACTCCATTTGTCCACTAGTGCCCTGGAGACCTCGAGGGTAATTCATATTCAAAATGCCACTTAACACAGGATGGTCTCACCCTCTCATCTACACTGTATATATGAGTAAAACAGTTGTGTTGTAGGTATGAATTTGCAAAAATACCCTCTCCAAGTCTATTTGACTGGTGATGGGTGGCACCAACTCACAAGTGAAACATATGTTACTACAGTTCTGGTTAAGAAAGTTAGTAACAGACCCATTTCTGTATGCTTTCCTGGGATTTTTGCTGCAGTCTAGGAAGAAGAGACTACCCTGTGAAATCTGTAGAGGCATATCTAGGTTTTACCCGCTTGTTGAAGACACTGATTTTAGTCAGCCCAGCATGCAATACAAAAGTAGTCTGGTAAACTGCATGAAACCCTCAGTCTCCCTCATTGTCCAAGAGATTCAATAGACACATACTTCTGCAGGACCTAACAAAGACTAGCTGGCACTCCTCCAAATCCACAAGCCTCAGTTGACTTTCTGGGGGTCTCCCACAAAGCCTTAGTAGGCTTGTCAGCATGTCAGTAGCAATAATGTTAAAACAGTCAAAGGAATAACCTTAACCTGAGGGTGACACTGAATACACTTCCTAAGAGTTCACAAATTCCTAAATAATAACACAAAAGAATCCACACAACCGTCTCCTATTCTGCATCACCTCTTTGAAATACATGGCAAGAATCACTATTTGCAAAATGTCTCAAACTCCTTTGCTCAGAGAAGCTGGAGACATGGAACTTATCCTGACATCTTTCAGGAGACGCATCCTGAACTGTATGTGATGCGTGACAAATGCAGAGAGGCAAGTCTGCTCAGCAAAAAATTAATTTTGTGGAAACATGTCTGTATGCTGCTATTTCTAGCACACTTTTTAAATATTTATTTTAAGCACGAACTTGCACGACCCTTGCTACTCATGTTCACTCAATATCACAAGCTCTGAACAAGATGACACAGCTAAATGCAACTAAACAAACACACTGGTTTACTACATGTCATTAATCACCATTGTGCAAAGCATTCTAATTGAAACAGGCCCCTGTTGCTCAGATCTTTGTTAATTTCTTCTTTAATTTCAAAACAAGTTATTTCCTTCCTCCAAGTGTTTTAAGTTTCAGAGGGCCATGTGTGCTTGCAAAGGCTGGAACAGGGCATACTCTTTGTAAAAGATAAGATGCAAGACATAAATTGGTGTCTTCTCAGGCATACCATATGCTGAAAAATAGAAGCTACTTAACAAGAGTAGCCAACTAAATCTGCTTCCCAAGAATCTAGTTTGGGGCCAATTCTAAAAGCACTGCACGTCCTGTATTATTACATTTCCATTCCTCATACAGACTGATTGTGGGAAATGATAGATTGCTACTTTGTTGTTGTCTACCCAATAGCTTGTGTATTCAAGACTGGGCTGGAAAGGTTATGAAAAACAGGCTCTTCCCCAAAAGGTCTGGCTCTTCCACTTCCATGAGAACATTTTTACTACAGTGATTCAAATGAAGTGTTGACATCCCAACCAAAATCAGAATCCCAGGGTACTATTCCATACATTTACATAGTAAGAGACAGCTCCTTCCAAGATCTAAATATACAAGACAAATGAAAGCAGAAGTACCTCCTTAATACTCACCTTTACCCGAATGCCTCAATACTTAACCTGAACAGAGTCAGGCAAGTTACAAGCTGTACCTATTCCTGCCCTTAACAGAGAAATGAGAGGACAAAGTTTCCCTTTTTTTTAAACAAATGAGTAGGAGGACATACAGATCTTGAGTGACTTGTCTGAGTTTAAAGCCCTATCACCTGACCCCAGCAGTCTTTCCTGCCCAAGTACAGAGGGGCTGGGCCCAATGATCTGTAAGGTTCCTTCCAGCCCCTAACATCTATGGAACTATGAAATAATCCACAAAATCTGTGGCACAACTCAGATCTCCTAAGTGCCAGCCTCGTGTCCTAATCATTAGGATTACCTTGATTTTCTTGGTATTTAGCCTCTTCCATCTCTAGCCCTTGAGCAAGATGAAATGCGAAAGCAAAGGCAAGTGACAAAAATACTTCATGAAAGCCTTTCAGTACTTGCTAAGGCAGTTGGAGTTCACTTCTAGATTTAGGTGAAGGCCTTAAAAGGTGGAGTTGGGGGTGTCTTTATTTTAATGATTCATCTATCCCTACTATTAGGGCCATGGTCTGTTTTAGAAATATCCAACAAATGGGTGCATTTCCTTTTTAGGTAAACTCGAGGAAAATATTCCTACCTAGATTATCAGATAGTGCATTTTTTTTGCCCAGTAAGACTGCTCATGTCCAAACTCTAGAAGTGTTAAAAGGCATACCTGAGTTCAGTGCTCAGCAAGGTCAAGGTGCTTTCCTCCTTAGACCGTGATTACCACAGGTGTTACCATGACCAGCCCCTCAGATCATATGCCAACAGCTGAATTATAAGCTATCATTAAACAGTTACAACTTACATCCATGCCTGTAGCTGGTGTGGTGGTTTGGAGAAGAGGTTTAGTGACTGCTATTTTTCCACTCCCTGAAGTGTTTCCTGAAGCTTGTGGAAGCATGTTCATGGTGCAGCTGTGAAGTTGGGAGGTACCTCCAGTGACAGCAATAACTGGCTGGGAGGCAGGGAGAACTGCAGGAGTCTGAAGCTGTGCCATAGCGGTCTGAGAAAGCATCACTGGCTGACCTAGGGGAGAGAGAGACAGGCAAAAAAACAATCACGAATGAGTCAAAGGATTCCTAAAGGTTCTACATTTCTTCTCTTGATTTTGCATGAAGTTACAAGCAAAAATACAGCTTTCCTATCTACACCTCAGCAGAGCAAGGACAAGTATTTCAGTAGTGCAGACAGCCAGATGAAGAGTTTATGGATCTGGATGTGGTATCCTTCTGTGGTAACATTTCACCCTGTTGGAAGAAGTCAACTGATCAGCTAATGGACCAACACTATCCACTCTGATTTTCCTGACTGCTTCAGGGAGCAGCAGGATGTCTACTGAAGCCATGTATTTTAATCTGGCAGAAAATGTCTTCTGCTATCCCTGATCTACAGAAGTGCATGGGCACTTGGAGTCGATCCTGATGAAAGAGGCTTAAGAGGGCAACACCTACTGAAAGACACCCATGATAGCTTGAAAAACCATTTCAGTTTGCCCTGGCAGAAGACTAAACTTGTTCTGACTGATACAGCAGTATCAGATATATGCTCTGCATGGAGTCTGTAGCTTTTCTCCTTTCTTTGCATACATATGGGAGCAAACTTTTTTACAGTATTACAAGACATGTTAATGACCATTAGGACACATTCTACTTTTCCTCTGAGTTCATAAGAACGATCTGGACCCAATGGATGGTTCATATTTCTAGAGGAAGTATGGGTAGTTTGGCTTTTCAATTTTTCCAGAGTAGCGTTTCTCAACCCATAGGTTGCAACCCAAAAATGGGTTCCAAGAATATACGAAAGGGTCATGAACAAACTTTAAAAATGGATCAACAAACTTTAAAACTGGATTATCCTTTGAGGGAGAAAAATGTGGGAAACCATGGTGTGACAGGAGTATCAATATCGGAGCCTTTCCGGGAGTGGCTCTGCCTTCCTGTAATGGGCCAACCGCCTGCTTACTCGCCTGCCATGCCTTGATCTTACTTGATTAGTAGATTATTGTAATCAGCGGGAGGCTGCCCATTTTTCGCGCCCCGGTGACAGGGGGTGCTACCTGCGGCTCCTTTTCCTCCCCTACACTGCAGCCCACGCCTCGCAGATGGTGTTGACATGGTTTGACCTAGGCCCTGTTATGTCTTGGCCCCCCTCTCGCTCTGGGGCTCCCCGCTGCCCCCCCCTCGCTCTGGGGCTGGAGCCAATGCACCCTGCAAATGTTGCGCCCTCTCCAGTGCCAGGAACCCCCACGCTACTGGGGAGTCCCTATGAGGCCTCCTCCAACCCCTAATAGCCTCACCCGGTCCTCCGGTCAAAAAAATGAACATAAAAACACAAAGCCCCTGGGCTATAACATAAAACTAGACCATCTGGTCAAAACGGATTCAATCCCTACTACAGAGTGAGGAAGAGAGGGAAGGAGGGCTCCCCAACCCCAGCAGTAACCAGGGGATATTCACACCGCCAGAGTTCTCCCCTCTGCCTGTCCTAGCTGAGTTTCTACTCCCACGGCCGCTGGAGAGGAACTTCTCTCCTGGCCTCCTACCTGGGCTTAAGAAGGGCTAAGCCCTGCCCCTTCCTGTCAGCTGGCTTTACTGGTTGCCTCAGCAACCAGCACCTGTGCAGCCCTGGTGACTGGCAGCTGAGCCTCCCCCTTCCTGCCACTAGGGGGTCTCTCCTGAGCCATATCCGCTTTCAGGCGCAGGGCACCTGAGTGCACTGCGACACATGGGTTTTCCCCTTGCAGGCTGGCAGAGTTCCAGCCTGCTTGGGGCCCCCCCATGCCCCCCACCATACATGGAGGGGCTAGGGCCTGAGGGCAGGGGGCAGCAGGTTGGGAGTGAAGGGCACTGGCAGGGCCGGGGGCTGTTTTGTACTTAAACTACTTACTGGATGAGGACTGGTCACTGATGTTTACAAATGGGTCCCAGTACAAAAAAGGGTGAGAACCACTGCTCTAATACTTGTCAGTAAACTCCCCAGCCTTGTTTACAGCGAGTTGAAGGGATGAAGACAAGTTCTCTTAAAAAGTGTTATCTGTCAGGCTCTACCCATTCATCTTCCTTAGAATCTGTGGATGTAAGACCATGACATCCAGATTAAGCCTGCAGTTCTGGAATCAAAAAATGAGCCTTCAGATTACTAAAGTGCATTTTCTCCAGCTAGCGCTGTTCAGTATTTCAGTGCTCAGAGGACAACACAACAAGGCAAGAGCATTCTAGATGCAGAGCTTTCATTATAATGATTCCTGTCAAGAACCTCCCCCCTTCCCCTATCTGACACAGTCACTCTTGGGCCAAGACCTCAGAATTTTTCCTTTTAAGAAACCAATTCCAAATTTAGACGCAATTGAGATGGGGAAGAGAAATGCCACTCTTGAAATGTAGCCAACAAGCAACAGGTCCACAAAACAGAGAACAGCTGAGGAGGACCATAAATCTGGATAAAAGTCACTTTAACAAGGGAAGGCTGTAGGGTCTACAACTGTCTGAACAGAGCAGCAAGGTACCTAGTTTCCATGGGTCCAAGTAAAGGCCTGGAGTTACAATAAACAGACAGTGATGTTTGTTAGCCACTTGGGGATTCACCTGAATAAAAGCTGTTGTAAAAGGTAAAATTTTGATCATAATGAAGGCTCAGACATATAAAGCTGCTCCTGCTTGCTTTTCTCTTACTAATCAGAACTGACTGTGTGTGTCAGTCCTCTCCCTCCTGCATTTTTACTGAAAATATTTAATGTGTATAAAGTGAATCACAAGCAAACATGTGAACCAACTCAAAGAAGCAAAGCATTCAAAAAAAGATAGGTCAAATAAAATAGGTTACAATAAATGACATAAGGAAACAGTACAAATTACAGACTTTCATAGCCTCAGCTATGACCTTAAATTACCTTACGCTGCAACATTTTTTTTTTTTTTTTTGGAGAAAGGGGCCTCTTTATACCAAAAAGACTGATGAGACTTACAAAAGACTGACAAAAACTTAATGAAACATTCCCCCTCCCTCCAGGTAAATTAATACCACAAAGACTTTACTAAAGACTTTACTAAGACAATTAAGACCTATTCGCACCCAAGATATTTCAATCCAAAAGCCTCACTTGCTCTGCACACATCTTAAGATGTCATTTGAAGATTCTGGCCTAGACTACACTACAAAGTTTTACTTGCAGTACTCCAGTTTCAAGTTCACTCAGAGTTCCTTCACAGTACCAGAATCTTGCCCTTTGCTACCTAGTGCCCTCCCAGGACACACTTCACACACTGCTGGTTCAGTGGAGCCATGCACACCTGACAGAAGTGCATGGATGGGCATGTAGGCATGGCAGCTGCTATCTTTCACCAGAACTTCAATGTGCAGAGGCAGATAAGTGTTGACATCTCATATATTGGTGGGGAGGGAAGGAGAAGAGAAAGAAATCATATGGTGCTATCCTCATAATATCTCTTCTCTCTTCTTCCAAGCTTTGACAAGCAACATCACACTTAACAGCGGCATTCCAAAGTATCACCACTGGCATCTGACTTAGTACCCATGAAGATTAATGGGACCATTCATAACAATGCCTGCATGCTGTGTGCAGTTTTAGCTAATGACACCTGTGAAGAGGAAATAGTTCCCCTGAAAGTTCTCTTCCTCAAAGATTAGCAAGAACATTAATCAGAAAGCAGACAGAAAAATCTCCTGAGGAGCCTCTGCTGTAGATCAAGGCTTTCCCCAAGTGCACTTCCTTCTCTGCATCACCATAAGGAGCCATTGCATAGGTGTTATAAGCAGAAGGTTAAATATGGTGTCAATAATTCCTTAAAAACTGAACACAATCCTTTTATACTGTCACATTTCCATCCAGAGAACCTACATTCTCAGTATCTTCTCAGACAGTACTAAACAACACAGTACTTCACTGGATGAGTACCTCAAAAAGGATTAAGAGGGTGTCAACTTGACTCTAAATTTGAACTTTTCATTTGAGGCAGTCAGACTGGAGATTATAGAGAGGATGGGGATGCCTTTTCTCTGTGGCCACAGGGAACAAGACTAAGAGCAATGGATTTAAACTGAGGCAGAGGAAATTTACGTTGGAGATAAGGGCTTTGGCTTCCTCAGCCATGACCGGCACATCACGACGAGACACATGCTGGGATGGGATGGGCTCCACCTTTCCCCTAAAGGTAAGCGTGTGTTCTCTTCTAGGTTGGCGGACCTCCTCCGGCAGGCTTTAAACTAGGCTCGT